TAAATTAACGTGTATGACCTTAAAACTTAATGCAGATCTGTTGCTAGAGAGTTATAGTATTGTTGCAGAATCAGATTTCAGAAATAATGAAGAATGTAGATTTTTACACAGCTGTGAAATTCTACATTTTTATTTTATTTTATGAATTTTACATTCCGTATTTTCTTTCTTGAATGAGTTAGATTTAGAGAAATTACAATAGTGGCCGAGTAGGTAATTATACTAAAACGAACGATGGTGTTCAATTACATAAGATACTGAGTTCATCCAGAGACTACTTATTGAAACGTTTGATAGTCTGCGGTTAGGAATGTGCTGTTAAATTTTTATTGGTGTGTAAAGAAATCAGGAATAAAAACGTGCAATTAACTAAAAATAACTCAAATCTGCGCATTTTACGCTTGGATATTTTATTCTCACCATTTTTCTTTTTCCGTTTTTTCACATATGTAACCATTGTTTCTTTTACTGATTTTGAACTTGGCCCGTTTACAATAAAATATTCTCAAGAAGACTGCATCATGGCTTTTGATTGAAAGGAACCTTTATTCTTCTTTCATCATTTCTTCTTTGTTATTATTACCACTCTTTTCTCCTTTCTCTCTCTCTTTACTTCTTTAGTTGTCTTTCCTTTGTCTTTTTTTTTTTGTTGTCGTTGTGTATCGTTCTTATCATGTACTCTTGTCCTATCTTTTGTCCTCAGTCAATATGTAAAGATGTAATAGGTTCGCCTCCTTCTTTTCGTTATTTGTACTGAAGTTTTTCACACTTCCTTCTCTCAAATAAAAGTTTATAACAACCTTTAACATTGTGTGATTGAGTTGAGATGAATCGTTCTTCGTTTTGGGGATCTTTCAAACCTAAATAATATAATACAAAAAGATAAATGCACACAAAAATCCACTGAACACTGAAATAACCTTGTTGCACAGCAGATACCAATTCTGCTCGTATTTTGTCATGAACAGTTGGAAATGATTCAATTTTTCACATATTTTTCCCGCAAGGGTTTGACTAACGTTTTTTCCATGGTCGGTATGATAAGGTGCGCTTGTTGAAGAGTCGTCTAAAAAGGTAACATACAATTCTTTCTATATCTTAGTGCACTTAACAGAAACGTTGGAGATACATTGGTGTTTTTAAGTCGCTTTTTATCTACGTGTTTGTTTCCCGTGTCCTGTGAAAAGCCAAATTTTTATGGAAAATATAGCCCATTATCGCTAGTTATTCTGCGCTATGAAAGAGAAAAAAACTAACATACACTTTGAATTTCTTTGCGAAGTGTCCGCTTGGTTGTCTAACGTTAGTATCCACAAAAAAGATCTGGCTCATCAGGCATAACTTTAGTTGAACTATCTCTTCAGGATAAATTTAATACAGTTATAGTCAAACTTCTAGAATAAATCACTTTCACGCTCCGGCCTTTACTTCTAGAGAAGGATATGTGTTTGCTATTGAGGCTTAGTGCTAATTTCTTTTATATTTTATTTCTTTCGCGCAAAATCAGTTACTATTCGTTCCATATTCTGATTTATATTTCCTTAATACCCGCGTTTCTTGGACACTGCTAAATATAATGCAGACATTTTTCTATGACATAGCAGGAACGAATAGAAAATCTCTTTAAATTTTCTCTTTTCTGTTTTTTTTCTCTACCACCATGGTCCGACAGTTTCTCTTAGTCCGCAAATTCCTAAAGAGATCTCGATTCGTTCCGTCCAGCTCGAAGCTTGGATCAACAAAATTTTAACCGGCCCGTCTGAGCCCTCAGTTGGTTTGTATCTTTAAATGGAGACCAGAAGCACACTAGATCAAATTGCAATATTTTGAGATACTGAAAACCATACATGAGGCAGTTATTGCAAGCTACGTGCACTTGTGCTATCTTTGCTGCCTTCTAGAATCTTTCGTTCTATTCTGTGTACTCACCACCAGGCAAGAAGAAAACAGACTCTTTTCGTTCTTTCTCGACAAATAGCAACGCTCGCAATGCTTCTTTCAACACTTGATTATGAGTAACCAATTTCTTCGTCCTTGAACATTTCTCCTGAAAGAAAGTGCCGTCAGTTTTATTGTAGTAACACCGGCCCTTCTTGAATTACACTGTAAAAAATAGGCGCAGAGTAATACATCCTCACTATTCGTTCACAATCACGGCATAAACTCTTTTTAGGTTTATGAGCTTAATCTACCTCTCATAAATCCTTTTTTTCATAAACCTCTCAACGGTTTGTCATACGTTGTAAATTCACATATCCTTGTGTTGTTTTCTGTGTTCATAAACCCTTTTTGAGTATATAAATGCAATAAATCCTAAGGCACAGGGTTTGCTATTGGACGTTTTAAATGCAATGCAACCGCAGAACAATAAACTCTTTGCCTTAGGATTTATTGCGTTTATATACTCAAAAAGGGTTTATGAACACAGAAAAAATACAAGGATATGTGAATTTACAACGTATAACAAACCGTTGCGAGGTTTATGAAAAAAAAGGGTTTATGAGGGGATTGATTAAGCTCATAAATCTAAATAGGGTTTATGCCGTGATTGTGAACGAATAGTGAGGATGTATTACTCTCCGCCTACTTTTTACAGTGTAAATAGTGCGTGAAGTTTCTGAATACTCGAAACAAGTAGACGGAGAAAAAACCATGGTAATTTCGTAGTTCCGCTCGGGAGAGTTATACATCATTTGGTGCTTCATAACTAGCATCGCTAGTCAAGTACCCGTCGTACATTTCGTGTCGACGTTAAAAATAAGGTCGACATTTATGTATAGCATAGCTAGTAACATGTGAGTGATCACTTGTAAAGACTATTTAAATATATACATAAGTGTACGACCTTCATACGAATGTATCATCATAACTCGTAGTTTCCTTTTGCACAATTTAGTGCAATGGGAAAATGCGTAGTTGGAGAAGTACAGCGTATGAAAGGTCGGAAGATCGAATCCAGGAGAAGAACACCTAAAAATTGTTCTAAAATAAGATTCACGATGTTCTTTATCTCATTTGCACATGTTCGTGAAATAACAGGATGAGGCTGTTATTCGATCGATGATTGATATAGAAAGACTGTTAATATGACAGAGAACAGACGACTTACCGTACATCGCCGCACTTAACCCAAAGTTTTCACTTTTCGTTTCTAGCAGACGCCATCGCACAGTGGGCAATTTTGACTAAGCACGTGGAGATGAGTTTTGAAAGCAGTCCAAACGTATCTAAACCATTTTTCTACAGGTCTTCTAAGACGTTCTTTCCAACCGAATGGTTTTCAAGTTTTAAAAAGGTTTTCCAAGCGGTCTTCTAGAGATCGGATCTCTCCAAACCACTTCTAAAACTTTATCAAAATTCAGAAATCATTTCAGTGGAAAAAGCATCGCCGAAAACCTATAAAAAAATATTTTAGAAGCGTTCATGATTTTAAATCTTGACTTCTGAATTTTCGGGCAAAAAATTCTACGTACCGATCCCAAAATCCCAAAACTCGATAAGATTCAAAAGTATATGTCCAAAGCCCAATGAATTATACGCCATTGGATGCAGTTTTTTAAGCTGATTTTGAATATGCAATTGGTTCTTGATTCTGATGTTTCTGAACTGCGAGGACTTGATTTTACCTCAAAACTCGAGGGTTTTTGGAAAACCGCTCTCACTGCAGGGAAGCGTTTGGGCTATTTTGGGCTAAGTACACAGACGTATCATATAAAGAAGAATATTTGCTGAAAGTTTCAGCTTCGGTGGACATCAGGGGAATTTAGGGTCCCAACTCTACTAAAATTACTTTTGCGAAAAACGCGTAGTCTCCGGAAAACTCTTTTTCTCCTACCAAAAACCAACTAAAATTAAAAACCTTTTTTATTAATCGATAGCCTGGAAACTCAGCTTTCAGAGTATGTGTGTTTTTCTGAAGTTCGTTCTGTTGACAGAAAGAGCAATATTTTTTAAAGGCCACACAAACCGAGCTAAAAATTGTAGCTTACTTTTCTCGATGACCTTAGGCACTAGAGCCAAAATTTTTTCACCATTAAATAGACCACTGATTGTTGTATATATAGAACTCATTGAATCTCTAAAAATCTCACTTTTGTTTTTTTCCTAAATGTCCACCTTATTGCGCACTGTACATCGGTCTAAATGTTTTCTACCTACTAATAGAAGGAGATTGAAATAGAGTTATAGTTTGCGAAACACACTGTAGACAATCACATGATACATGAAAAGTCCCCTTAGAAACATTCGTCTTCGATGAACGAGATACGAAAGCTTTCTCCTAACTCCCTAAAGGAAATTCCATACGACCGTCAATTTAGATAGATCTAATTTTGATTCTTTTTCTCTTAGGAATTGAATTGGTTCTAAGATCAAGCCACCTGATGATCTACATAAGCAGTAGTGAAACGCGATGTGGTAGCTTATACTCACCCTCGAGAGTCTGCAGAAATGAAACTTTTGTACCTGTCCAATACCAGATCCTATTAGTTGGAAACTTTTACTGATCATAGTAAGCCACCAGCGTCAGTATAGAAAAAAATTTTCTTGCTCAAATCAGAGAAGTTACAAAAAAATTAAAAAATCAGCCCTTCTGCTATACGTTTCTATGTGAATAATGAAATGGCCATAACTTTTGACCACAGGCCCATGGACACGAATCCTTTTAGGCTTCTGCTATTCCTATTGAGGCCTACTTATGGTCAAAATATGAACTCTAAGTCGAGGGGACACTTCGGGTACCTCCCTCGTCAGTCGAAACTACCTAATGAAAACCCTTAAGCAAGATCGAAACGCGTCGTAGTTTGTTTTGACTCACTCTCACACATTTTTCCTCCATTCTTTTCGGTTTTTTTCTATGGGTTTTTTCCCACCACGTGACAAAAGACGACACACGCTCTTATTTATATAAAGGAAAGACGCACAAATAAAGAATTCTCTCGCATTTTGCAAAGTAACAATTTTCATACAACAAACTCTTCTCAAAAAAGGTAACGAAAATCATGTATCGTCATTATTCTAACAACAGTAGACATCACGATGGTGCAGGAGATCATGCACCGCATATTAATTTAACCTATGTTGATGGCGACGTTCACGTGGAATTAAAAAAAATGATCCAATCAGGTGAACAACGAACACTAATTTTAAAAGCGGAACAATTTTTTGAGATTTCGTTCAAAAGTGATGAAATTCGAAAAGCTGGCCGTGAGATGGCTCATTATCAGGGGCGTAACAGTGAGAAACAGCCGCCGAGTGAAGTTGGTTCATTTAGATTTATTTTACGTTCCGACTATAACAGTCATAAATATGAACATTTATACGAATGGGAAGTGCCCAATTCTGATTTACGAATTTCGGTTCGTAATCGTCGCAGTGACGGTAGACGACCTAAAGACACTGAATTTGTGGTTGAAGTACGGGTGTTTACAGCAAGTGGTAGGCCCACAATTGAAGGCATTATGATGGCATGGCATAATTTCAATGGTGAGTTTTTGAGTTTATAAGGAGAGGACAGCGTGGCATCGCTCATCAAAACCAAACGTGATAGACTAAGGTAGACCAGGTGATCTCGAATTTCAGACCATCGGTTCATATCATTTGCAGTCTGTCAAACAAATCTAAACATTGCCATTTTTTTGACGGATTTCACGAATTTTCAGTATTCTTAGGGTTAAGCTCATCTTTCGTTTAGAGAAATTTCCGTAGTTATGAGCGAGTTATACGACGTATAAATCGACGAGTATAAGTTTATAATTACTTTATACGGCTAAAACGCGTAACTGTCACTCTCAGCTGCGGTGAGTTAAGCGATATTTTTTCTCTCAAACCAGCCTTAAAAGCATATGACTCACTCGCGTTTAGGAAATTGAAATGATACTGTACGACGATGCTGTATATATAGGGAACATAGCTGCCTTATGACTACGTAATATATGTACGAGTCGTAGGGCTAGTACAAAAATGACGTG